AAAATTGATCAAAACGTTGCTGGCTTAATTAGCTGATCGCAAGTGCAAGTAATTGTGTACAGTATTATTTACATTGAAATTTATTAATGTTTTTGTTATATCCCTTTTGTAAGCCCTTATTTTAATTAAATAAAAAGCCATTAAATGGCAACAATTCATGCAGGGGTTTTAGATCGTTTCTTATGGAAGTATACCTTAAAGCCCTTCTCAGGGAAAGGGAGGTGGAAGGCCTTACCTAATGAGCCACTTTGTAAGTACTTACTTTAATTAAATAATAAGTGCACATGGAAGCCCTTCCCAGAGAAAGGTGAAATGTAAGGCCTTGATAAGTGGGACATCTCATACAAAAAAGAAGGAGAAGTAGAAGTGCTCCTGTCTGCCAATGGAAGGACTAGAAGTGCTTCTAGAAGGGGTTTCAGGCCCTTCTATTGCCAACTGGGCGTATGTAGATGCGTGTTTCTACAATCGGACCACGGCAACATGCCCTACAAGAATTGTGTGATAGAAACTAACACATTCTCATTTATCGTACTAACACATTTGCAAATTTTGCGTTGGTTGAAAAGAGACCACTAAATAAGGCCATAAGTCGGAGGACGACGGAAGATCACATGTCCACAAATGTTTACATCATGTTTTGCATATTGCTCATAAAAAGTTGATAGAAGTACTTGATTGAGATCTCCATCACCAGTGAGTATCACATGATCAATCAAATGACTATTACTGTTCTTGTAGGGTAGAGTCTATCGGTGTCAAACTTTAACCAACTTTATTTTCGTTGCTTTGGAGGAATAATTGAGTAGTCCACTTGCAAACAGCGTTATGTGATTTTAAATTAGAAAGCCTTAAATTTAAAAAAACGACTACGACAACAAGTAACATTTAAATTGAATCTTTTTTATTATTACCTGAAAATTTTGATAAATAAGCGCCTTACAAAATTGTAACATAACTTAACATGACATAAGATAACATTAACAGTCTATACGAGCTAAAACCGTTTTCTAAGTTCATCAGAAGACGTATACTTTTGAAAGTTTATAAATAAGTATGATAGCGACTTTTGGAAGAAGAGTTAACATTTGCTGCTATTTTTTCAGAATATAAAAATATTTTGCACTGTGCTGTTAGTGGACATGAAACTACTTCAAATACTGGTACGTAATGCACCAAAAACTAAAAATCTAAGAAAATTTACATAGCGCACTTTGCAAGTGGACTACTCAATTGTACGTCCACCGCCTATATTTACTTGATTTTAAACATTTCCAATTTTAGACATCGTTACACGTCTTTTCTAAACATTTTGAAATAAAATTTTCATAAAAATAATTTTGGCCGCCTAAATGGGGAAAAAACCAATATCAATATTTTTGGATCGAAAAACTTGGTTCTTATTCAGGAGACTCCCAATTGTTTCTTTAACCATTTTTCATGCTAAATATATTTGATAGGTCCGCCAACGCCCCCAAAAAGTGTAATGGGGGGGACCAATAAAAAGTCTTTAATACTAACAAGTATTTTTTAAACAAAAAACAAAACCGACTTCAATTCTCATATAAAAATGTAAGATTATCGTTAATTTCGTCATGACACAATGATTACATTTAAACCAAATTAATACGGGACCACCTTTGAGGTAACACCTTTCCTTTGAAAGAAGAATTATAGAAATCGGTTAACATGGTCCAAAGTTATGCGTTAACATACATAAAAAAAAGTAAGAGCAGCGCTGTCTTCGGCTATGCCGAAGGATGCATACCTTTCATGGACATCTAAAAATTTTACTTTAACAGATAACTGCATTTGAAAAATTTTATATATTCACAGCATACATAGATAGATGAGATACATATATAGAAAATCATATCTAGACAATCATAGGTATGGAAGATATACCTTATATAGCACCAATCGAATTGATTTTTACAACTGTGTGATCGGTATGTAAACCGGTAACATAATTTAATGGGTTTAGACTCCTACACATTGGCGTCGCTACGTAGGGGCACCTCCCCTCTTTTTCTTTTTCTTAACTTCTATCGTATCTATTAAAATGCAATTTTCAAAAATTTCTTGCATTGCTATGCCTTTTTTATTCCATCTCAAACATACTGTTATAGCATGCCTTTGCTTCTTAGCTCAGCTGTTGTTTGCTGTTGTGTTTCTGCAGCATATTTTTAATACTGTTTAATCCTGCCTTGTATGAAAATGTATATAGCAGGGGTGGGCAAGGCCGAGGCCAAAAAGAGCCACATCTAAGTGCTAAATGCTACAAAGAGCCACAAAAAAAACAAGGAAAGCAAACATTTTATTTTTAAATAAAATTATTATTAGAAATGAAAAACATTAATTTTATTATTATTCTATTGTACGTAAGATAGATATAAAAAAAAAGTTCAAAAGATCCCTTTGGCGAGATTTTCAAAATCTGGTTTTACGTCAGTTAAAGCCGTTCATAACAATTCTGTTAAATGTTGGATAGTCAATAGGTACGTTCGTTTAAAGTCTCCAGTAAAAAAGATCCAACAGAGAAATTCCGGCAAGATGTCATCTGTTATCTCACAAGAGAAAAATATCCAAAATAGTACGCGAACAGACAATTTGAAGAAACTTTCAAAAAAATTTAAAACGTAAGAAAACAAATTTCGAAGTCTTATCCTGACACAGTTCACTAGCTAAGCAAAGAGCCGCATTTGGCTCAAAGAGCCACGTTTGCCCACCGTTGATATATAGATTTTTAATTAGATAGTTGTTTAATAAATTTTACTATAGTAGGAGCTTGCAAAATTCGGAGAATCTGTTCCCGTATATACAATGTAAATAATGATGCTGAATATGTTGCATGTGTTCCTTTTGTTGACATGCATAAATTTGATGCATGCTTTGATTTGAATTTATATGTCTTCATATATCACTTTCAAACAAGTATAAGCGACATGATATAAACTGGCACTTGCATGATGTGTTACATGTCGCTATGTTTTGTAGTTCAGGCCTTTAGTATCTATATATAATTGCTCAGTCAAAGGGTGAAAGGGTTAACCCTAAAAGTATAATCTACGTCTGCGAGGCGTATACGGAATGGGTCTTTTTTTAATTTTAACACAAAATTTACTTTTTATTTTGTTGTTTTAAATAAATGTTGTTATAGATTTTATTAATAAAGCTATGTTTTATTATTAGTCAAACTCACAACTTCAATATTCTTTAAAAAAAATAAGGCAGGACTAAGTATATTTTAGCTCACACGTTATCTTTTAAGTACATAAGCCTCTACGGCGTATGTTAAGGCTTTACGTTACTCCCAAATAGATTAGGCTTCTAGGGTTAAGAGAGCTTTAGTTTGGAAGTGTGATATTAAATGCTTTTCACCATAAACGGCGCCAATTTTCAATGATTATTGCGTTTCAGATTAAGACTAATACCAGATATTGTGAAAGGTTGGACTATACCTTAAAGGTGACGGTTTTCTCATGGCCTACTGAACGAAGCTTAGAGTAGAGTAATGTCTTTTAAGAACTTAAAAATTATCCTGGGTTACCAGGTGTCTAGCAATACAAGATTAATTATTGTCTTTCACGAAGTGNATTTGGCTCAAAGAGCCACGTTTGCCCACCGTTGATATATAGATTTTTAATTAGATAGTTGTTTAATAAATTTTACTATAGTAGGAGCTTGCAAAATTCGGAGAATCTGTTCCCGTATATACAATGTAAATAATGATGCTGAATATGTTGCATGTGTTCCTTTTGTTGACATGCATAAATTTGATGCATGCTTTGATTTGAATTTATATGTCTTCATATATCA